AAGGTGAGGTGAACATCGTCAGGGATGTTATAATCCTTTCGGAATTCAGCCATACCACCGGGTGTGTTTACTAAAAACCTATACTTTCCCATTTATGGTTTAAGTTATGAATAAATTATACTTGGGTGTTAGCTCAGTCGGAGAATGGTGCCGAGTAGCTCGGTTGAGCGCTCAAAGGAGTGTCTGGGCAACCTAAGTCTGCAAAGTGAAAAACAAAGGTTAAGCACAGATCGTTGGACCGTGCTAAAAGAAACACAGGCAAGATAAATGAAGTCCTAGCTCGGCTATGTGAATTGTTTCATGTCTTAGCTCGATTTGAGCAAGGGGTCTATTAGCTCGGTTTAAGCAAAGGTTTGCTAGCTCAGTTTGAACAAGGGATTTGTTAGCCCGGTTGAGCCTCTAGGGGCAGCATTCTTAGTTCGGTTTGAACTAAGAAGGCTGGTTTAACCCCGAGTTGTAGCTCGGTCATGGTCGAGGTTTTCAAGCATACTATTACAAACGTAGTACGGATCAATAGCCCGACTAAGATAAATGAAACAAAAGATGGTTCGACCTGATGAAACTACTAGTTTAGCATGAAGTGCTAGTCCGGTTGATAGTCTGGCTAGATTGACATCAACTACAAACAACTTCCTAGTTCGGTTATATTGTGATTTTGGATCAAATACAGTGTTCTACAGATTGCTTAGTGAAATACAAGTGGTTCTTGTAAGGTTTTTTTCCAGAAAATGCAAGGAAAAGCAAAAATATGTTTTGCAAAAGGCACATAAACAATATGCTGTGGATTGTAAACAATACAGTGTAAAAAGAGAACAGATTTGTGTTACTTACCCGGATTAAGAGGAAGGAAATGGAAGTAGAAAACACCAACGGACACGAGCTTCATAGTTGCAGAGTTGGAGAGCAATGGAGGCTCGAAGAGAGAGAGGAGATGAATAGTCGTGTGAGTGATTCAAAAGAGAACGAAAGGGTTTGTTTTGATGGAAGGCCCAAGATTTGGGCGGGACTGTTCAAAAAACATGAGGTATGAAGACGGTGTGACAGCTGCCTTCAGCCAATGAGAGTATGCCACGTGTCATTGGAATGAAAAGCGATTCAGTTGCTGCGATTGAAGGTACGTTTTGATTGGACAGATAGAACCCAGTACAAATTTAGCTTGGTTAGAAAGGCTAAAAAGTTTTAGCTCGGCTGGAAAGGCTAAAGGGTTTTTAGCTTGGCTAGTAGGCAAGTAATCCCTATCATGTTGCATAGATGGAATTAAGGGGCAATTGAGAGGGCAATTTATATCTAAATTGGGTCGAGCTGGGTAAATGGGCCGTTCTTTGGGCCACAGTAAGAAGGACTGGATGAAAGGGGGCTTGTAGTTAGCCCGGTCCTGGTAAGCCTTATTGTTATCCCGGTCCGAAAGAACCTTGAATTTAGTCCGGTCTAGAGAAGCTTTACATTTAGCCCGGTCGCCATACTCAAAGTTAGCCCGGTCATGGCATATTGCAGTCAACTCGGTCAGAGCTTTGCTATTTGTTAGCACGGTCTAAGCAACACTATGGTTAGCACGGTTTGTGCAGGAGGAACCGAGGTAAGAGCAGTGAAAGGAAGAACCGAACTAGGTCCAGTTCGGTCTACTCTGTGGCTTAGCATAGCTATGCTTACCTCGGTCATATTGGAATCCGACCATGGTAAAACCATCTCACTTAGTTTAAGCAGTGAGGGGGGTGTTGAAGGATAAGTATTATCTTTCAGGAGTATGACTCCTAGGAGGACTCTGTATGGAGGAGTAAAAGTCCCATTAGCATTGTGCCACGCGGAACCTATAAAAGCTCAAGACATCACTTATGGAGAGGTAACACAACTTTGATTCACGAATTCACAGAGCTTTTTGTCTATTTGTCTATTTTGCTGACTTAGGCATCAGAGAGGTATCCGGCACACACCCGCCGGCTAGCTCACGTTTGTGCTTTCAGGGAGTAAAGCGACGACGTACGGAGAAGCGCAATCTTGATCAACAGGATTATACGATAAGGTTTATTTCTTTCCCGTACAATAACCATTTCATTTTTTGATATTTATCTTTGAAAAAATAGACGCAAGTGTGTTTTTTAAAATAGAACGTCTAGTTTTTTTTTTTTAAAACAAACATAATAAAATAAAAATATTATGATTATTAAATCGATTTAATTTTTTCCATAAATGATATATACTAAAAACTCAACAAAATCAACAATTCAAATAATCAAGATGTGAGTAGTGGGCACATGAGTTTCTCAAATTTTTTCAAATTCATATTTAAACTTTAGATAAACCCAACCCGTTTATTTTCATTGTTTGATATATCTTGGACATAAAAGTTTATCTAACATTTAAATATGAATTTATCTCAAAATTTTCCAAATTCATATTTATTGGCTTTTTTGGCTTTCGAAGGTTATTTTTGTAATTGCGAGCATGTCAGCAAGGATCAATCAGTCCTTACAGAATGTTAATTGCCAACCAATTATTAGACGATTGTGTTTTAGTTCTTTCAGCCTCAATGAAGAGAACTTTTACTAATGGCTTTGTTTAGAAGAATTAAGCAAACAATGATCAAATGAAGAATAATTGCAGTATTTCATTAAGTAAAACGAAAGACTTACAATGATCCAATTCAGCCGCATAGAGGTTTACAGCAACAATCTACTTGAAACTACTCCTATGAACGAAATGCAGTGCAGGAATTTGAAGTACAAAAATGTAAAGAACAAGAGATGTAAAAACTGGAAAAGAAATAAAGTAGAATAAAACTGGTTTTCTGGATTTGAGTCTGGGCCTTTTTCTGGGGCTTTCTCTGCTATTTATACTTCTCAAGGATGACCATCGAACTGCACTTCTAACTGTCGAATCGCTCCTCCATGATCGCTGATCATGTTGCCTTATAGTTAGCTCCACTATGCCATTATCTGCAGTTGGGCTTCCCTCCTGATTTTGAATTTGAATGTGAGTAACCGTTGAAGCCACATCACTTTGCATCTCTTTGCTGATCCAGTGCTACGCAAATCTTGTAAGAACCACTACTAACTGCCACTTGTACGATCACGATCGAAGACTTGAATAGTCTTCCCGTATTGCCCTTATTCTGCCACGCGTTGAATTGTAATTGGTTTATACAAAATATGTAACCAACAATATTTAAACTTTAGATGACAAGTTTCTCATTTGCACCCTCCATATTTATTGTTCTTTCGATGGGAGTGGATAGAAATATGGCACTTTTTTTTTTCTTTTCATTTTCATTTTCGTTTTTTTTTTTTTTTTTCGCCTACACACTAACTTTGTAACAATTAGGATACCTTCTATTTCATTTTTTCTTTTTTATTTTTTCTCGATGACTTTTGATACTTAAAATTATTTTTTAAGTACTTCTATCACAATTTGTTCATAAGATATTCTTATATTCTAATAAGTTCTATTATTTTGGACATTTAATCTATCAAATTCTAATTCTTATATTTAAGGTATTTTAAAGATAATTTTACCCTTATAAATAATTTTTTGAATCCTTAGTAACTTGGCGATGTGAACATTCACATTAAATAAATTTGATAGTGTGAATATTCATATTATGGAACATTTACATTGTCAATGTGAACATTAATGCGCACTTCACCTTATTATTGTTAGAGGTACTTTAGTAACTATGTCACTCATATGACTTATTAGAATATAAGAAAATAATTTGAACTAAATGAAATATAAATAGGTAAAGAGAGACTTATAAATAACAAAAAATTTTGAGAGTTCTAAACCAAGAGCTCTAAAGAAACTTTAATGAATGGAGTCTACCCATTGATGTGATGTTTTGACCTTCTTCTTTTTTATTTTTTTTTTATTTTTAGAAATGATACATCCATCTAATTTGGAAGCTCTAAAAAAGCACTAATGATGTGAAAAATAAAAAAAATAACAAAAACCAAGGTCAAAACATCACATCACATGAGACCCTCACACCCATTAGAACTATTAGAACTCTTAATTTTAGAGCTTTCAATCTTTTTTCTTCCTTTTCTCATTGCCACATAAGCAAAGTTCAATTTAGAGCTCTACTTTTAGAACACTCTATCACCACCCTTGGAATAATCTTGGTGTTCTTATCCTATATGAATTAGTATTGAATACAATATGTCATACAATATGTCGTGTTTGTATCATTTCCAAAATTGTTGAATTATATTTTCAAAAGAAATTATTTTCTATAAATTAAATAGGAGAGTGAATAATACTAGTCTCAATTGAGTATTGAGAAAAATACAATGAATTCAAAAACAATTTTGACATAATTAAACATATCTCCCTTGAAGGGAGATCCGTATAATTATATCAAATTTGCAAATTTTATTACATTTTATTTTTGACTTCAAAGATGATCAATGCAACTTATCCAAATCAAAATAAATAGACCATATGGCAATGTGAAGATGAGCACATACACCAACATACACACACAAACCAAAGTAAATTTATAAAAAGAAAAGAGTAATTCATGAATACAATTTTAAATCAATGTTTTCATGATGTGGCTCCGAATTTTAATAGGGGTAAATTACACTGATCTCCATTGAGTAATCAACAAATTTAAACTTCTTTCAGCCCAAACACCATTGAATGATAAAATTACAAATCAGAAATTGTCTATATAGTGTACTTGAGAATAGCTCATTAAAATCTTGTAGGTGACTAAGAGGAGTACAAGAATCTCATGCCACCATGGTTGACATCTCAGTATATAAAGATTTTTACTTATATGACATAAGATTCAAAATTTCTTTCATCGTATGAGATTTGAGTTACATTTTTGAGTTACCAAAGCATTCATATCAACGTCATGTTCCAGCAGTTATTTTATTCCGAAAGCCATGGTTCCATGCTTGGCCCTACAATACTTGCACAGATGACACTTTCTCATGTGATCAGCCACCACTGCTTAGTCCTCCTGCACATAACTCATCCGAATCAAATAAGATTTGAAAATGTATATAAACAAGTCAAAATGACATTACTACTTCAGAACTGGCCACTTTCAGAGAATTTTTTAAAACAGATTTCGTGCATCAAAATGGGAAAAAAAGAAAAAAATAATAATTTTCATGTTATTAAGTGGCATCTAGTAGGTCCTAAGTTACTTCCTCTGCAATGGAATAAAAGACACTGAGATTTACATTGTCAACTCTGGTTTAGGGGACAGTTATCATATGGTTCACAGGGAAAGTAACTCATTTTCAACAAATACTAAACAGCTAAACCTAATGAAAGGGAAAAAAGTGGTTTGAAAATCAAGGGGAGATTATTACCTGAACCAAACATGACCTTTCAGACCCACTGCTTGCATGACTAACGTAGTTACCTAACTGTAAGCCCATGGTCGGGTACAACAACGGACCATAAAGATACACTACTATGAAGTCAACATAGCTAGAAGGAATTACTCTTTGGTGTAAAAGATTCGGTTGCAAGGAATACTAGCTACTTGTTTTTTGGCTACAAGTGGTAGAAAATCGTATTCAAGATAAGTATGAGATTACAAATTATTATGTCAAGCCTTAAGCCATTTTATATTTAAAAATTTTAAAAACTAACTCGTTCAAGTTTTTCAAGAAAGTAAGAGTTCAGTGAATGAACTGGTTGCACTTGGACCATCCATCACTGAATTCAAGAAAGAGAAAGAGATTGTTAGAACATTGTCAATCATGTGAAGAAGAAAACATTCAATAATTTGTAAAGACCATTCACTTAATGTATATCTTTTGAAGCCTTAAATCAATAATAAATCCAATGAAACAACTATAACATTTACTCAGAAAAAAAAAAAAAAAAGAGTAGAAATAAATATAACGCTCTAGTAGATAAAGTGCAAAGGCCGGAAATCCAGCATGAGTCATTACTGCTTTACCTGCTTTTAAGCTGTGATGCTAAAATAAAACATCTTCCTGATTTTCCACAACACCTAACATAGTGAAGTATTGAACCTTCAGCAGATTTAGGTCCCCCTTAAGATCATAGTTCACGGAAAATATCTCAATCTTGCTCATTTGCAGTTCTGTTGCCCCTCGTGAAATCGCGACGCTCTACAATTTTATTCACAAAGAAGCAACATGTCAGTTATCGTGAAAAAACAAACATGTCAGTCGAAAAAATGAACGAATCTTTTTCCCTAATCAAAAATTTAAAATTAAAAATGAAAAGGTAATTTGATTCTCCTATAAGTATGCCCAAAATAACAAAATTTGTGATTATTAAGACATAAACATGGTAAAAGGACAAGCAAAAAATAAAAGAGTTTCTACAGAAAACTTGAGCAAATTTTGTACTTGAACAACCATGCAACTTGCAAGAATCCGGCATAGTAATTTATTTTGTTGTGAACCTTTAGCAAGTTTTACATCACTGACAAACAGTAAAGATTTCACATATCAGGAGAAAGTATTACATATTTCTCTTTCAGTTCTATGGATTTCTCATTTCTCTTGTTACAACTTGCCAACAGAGCTGCGCCCGTAGAATACACTGAAAGTGATACCACATTGGTGTCTGAAACATTTCCCGCAGGACCTAAACAGATGTAAAGGAACACAATGATTAGAATTCAGAATCATGGGTTAATAATTAATTTCTTAACACTTAACAGAGTATTATTGTGCTACACACACGCTGTAGCAAGAAACAAGCTGGAGGAGATGAATGAACTCAAGATTGGACAAGAAAATTGACAATGAGATACAAAATGAAACTCACTATGATCAAAAGGAATGGTCTGAAGAATTTAACCAGGAATGTCACAAAATTGACGAAATCCATCTTTACATAAAGGAAAGAATAACATCTTACAGCTGTCCATGACAATAAAAAACAAAAACATTGTCACAATATTCTGACTAATCAACAGATTCAGAAATTGATTTCAGTTGAACAATCCCATTCGTATTTAAGTTCCCTGATTTTTCTTGTTAGGAACATTGTTGCCTACAGCCTATGAAGCACTTGTATGGGTACGGGGTATTAGTACCGGTACAATATGAGTACATCGATATAGTAAAATCTAAAAAAATGTAAGGTATGGGTACAACTGAGTATGTTCGCAATATATATATATATATATATGTATATTTATTTTTAAATTGGAGTAATGCAAAAATTGGTAAATGGTTTAGCTGGTTAAGATCCAACCTACAATTCACATTTAATGTCAAAAATAAGGTATAAACTAAAATTAAATGCCATTATATTAAATAACTTACAAACCAAAGTTCAATTTTAAAATCATGCTAAGCATTAAAAATATAATAAAATAATAAATAAATAAGTCCAATGAAACTAACTTCACCTCTTTATAGAAAAAAATACAATTCCGACTGAGGTACGGCTTGGGTACACCTTGGATATATACTAGGTACCTCTATGGTACGGCAAAATTTAAGAAAAAATTTGGATACGTATTCGTACGAAAAGCTCCTCATGATGAGGAATTGGCCTCAATTCTTGGACGTATGATAAGTGCTCTCCTTTTTTCATGAAAACTTCACACATTGTAGGCCCTACAAATTGAGAAAGGTTTAATAAAGTTATACGCAGATGATAAGGTTTATAGGGTATCCTTCGGTGCCTCTTAATTCTTGTTTCTCCCAAAGCTTTCACAACCATGAAATGTATGACCTCTTTTGCAATTATTTTCGCAATCTTGTGTTGGCAGTTGTATATAAACTTTTTGGCATAAATTCCAACTAAGAATGGAAAAGTAATGGCAAAACACAAACTCTGCAACCTCAAATCTGAAATTTCTGCACCCTAGAGTTTGATCTCAAATATCATAAACTAAACAAATAAATAAACAAAGGAAAAAATAAAAACTTCTTTCAAGTTGTTCCAATATCGGCGACTCCTTTCGACTGTTTATCGATGGGAGCTCAAACCGGCAAGGAGCGGGGGCAGGAGTAGTAC